CATACATAGCATGAGGCCTGGAAAGTTCCCAGTGCAAAGCTTTCACCATTGTCCTCAGGGCTGCTTTAGCCTCCCGGCACATTGGTGTGTGACAGGACACACCAAGTATTGCCAATAGGGAAGCTCACCTGAGCTCCAGGCCCAGTTTCTCAGGGGTTCATACTTAGGCACAGATTAAATCAGCAGCCAAGTGGTTGCTTCAGCCTCAGCCCCGCTTCCCTCCTCAGGCTGGGCTCAAAGCACAGCCCTCTCATGACATGGTTGGCTTTTCTGGCCTGGTGGCCCCCAACTTAAATCATCTTATTGGCATAAACTATTACATGTGGTCCGAGCCACCCTCAAGGCCCACCCTCCCTGCCAGGAATCACAGAGACACTCCAATTCATAGGAAACCCCAGGGCTCTAGAGATTACCCCCAGGAATGGGGACAAAGCCAGCTGAGTCTAAGACACACCTGGAGTGGTAGCCTGGTGAGTGGATGGTAGGCTATCTCCACAGCTCACCTAGGGGATGTGAAAGGAGTTATTAAGTAATCTATCTTACAACATTCCTTAGTGGGTTTCGAACGAGGTGGTCTATTCTGCTCCCACTCACAAATGGGGAAGGCAGGGGGAGTGGCAGTGTGCCAGGGAGAAGGCCTCAGCCTGAGGCCTGCTCACACACCAGTTAGAAACAGCCAGGCCTCAGGCTCCCCGTCCTGCTGTGTATCCCGGTTGGAGTGAGCGGCCGTGTAACTCCTATCCCCCTCTCTGTGCTCCAGGGCCACAAAGATCTACACTCCGGGTCGGAAAGAGCAAGGGGAGCCCATGACTCCTCGCCGCACGCCAGCCCGCTTTGGGCTATGAGCTGAGACTGTCCCTGCAGGGGATGGAGCCAGGGACTGAGTGGCTGGAGCACCCGGGCCTGCTGACAACACCCTTTCATCTGTGTGCTTTCATCTGTGCATGATGGCCCCAAGGGAAGCTCCTGCCAAGGGCAAGGCTCTGCCAGGGCGGAAGGAGTGCCTCCGTGCAGCTCTGGGCCGCAGAGCAGCGAGAAGCTGCGAGAGGTGGCTGGACCCGTCATGTCCAAAATAAACTGTCCCCAGGACGCTTGATGTATAAATGACTTGGCCATTGACTATGTTTTTTAAAATTCTTGTGTAAAGCCACAAAACAGACCTAGAGGGAATTGTAATTTGGTTATAATTCAGGATTTGGAAATAAATTTATTCTTTGTAAAATGTTACTGCATTTCTGACTGTTCCGATTTCCCTTGCCACCTTAAATCACATGGTAAAGAGGACATGGGCAGGACCTCAACCTGACTGGACTTGAATGGATCCTGCTAGAACTTTAATTCTTCTTGTTTCTCTTCCTCAGACAGGGCTTCTCAGAGGAGGGGTTGGGAGAGTGGGACACAGTTGACAGGGAGCGTGGCCTGGGCCACCAGCACCCAGCTCTGCGAGTGCCAAGCTGGTCTAAGGCTGGAGGGTGGCGGAGAGTGAAGGTCAGTGGCTGTGCATCCTCTGCCCCTCCTTAAGGAGTGTGTATGTATTGCGGGGGGGGGGGGGGGGTGGCGGGGGCGGGGAGACGGTTGGCCAATGTGTAAGGGTTGTGTATTGATGGAAAATAGTGTAAAATGTTGCTTATTGATTTTCACATAAAAGATGATCCTTGCCCTAGCCGGTTTGGCTCAGTGGATAGAGCATCGGCCTGCAGACTGAAGGGTCCCAGGTTTGATTGTGGTCAAGGGCACATGCCCAGGTTGTGGGCTCGATCCCCAGTAGAAGGCATGCAAGAGACAGCCAATCATTGGTTCTCTCTCATCATTGATGTTTCTATCTCTCCCTCTCCCATCCTCTCGGAAATTAAATGAACAAATAAATACATAAATGAGTCTTATGTTGGAATCACTAGTGTTTTGTTAAGCAACCTCTTAAGTCTGCTGAGGTAACTAAGTATTTGGCCCTTTGCATCACCCAGGGTCCTTATTTTGTGATTCCCTAGGTTTGGGCTTCGGTCCAGGTGTGCTGGGTGCAAGGTTCTGTGTTGGGGCCGCAGCACCGACAGGCTTGGGGCTAAGAAGCAGCTGGACACTGGCCAGCCCTCAACCAGAGCGCAAGGTGCGTGGCTCAGGCTGCTGACTCAGTTCCACTCCCTTCCCCACTCTGTTCCTGGGGTTTGAATTTCCATCTGTTACAGCTCATTACAGGTTAGAATTTAAATCAATTTTAAGGATGAGTTTGGAAGCCAGACTTTACCAGCCAGCACCAGCTACACCTCTACTTCCATTCTTTTTCTTTCTTTTTCTTTTTTTGTTTTACCTCTAACCGCCTTTATTGGGAATGTAGGTGAAACTGACTTCTCGCAGCTCTGCAGTGAAGAGAAGGCTCTGGGTGCTTGCCTGGGTTGACGGGCTAGCAGTAGTTGTCTATCTGTTCTGTGGAGAGAAGTAAGCTGGGATGTAATCTACACGCTTGGGCTTGGGATGCAACAGAAAAGGGAAAAGATTAAAATTCCAATTCATGCTTTATTATTTACTGGCTCTGACAAGTCACAAACTTACCTTCAGGGTCTTTAGAGAAGAAAATTGAGGCTGGAGAGGTGTTGAAAACCATGGGTCCCAATCTGACCTTCTAGTTTAAAAGCAAGAACCCCTGACCAGGGACACTTGGCACACCTGGGTGCCACCAGATGAGGGAAGGCTCCTCTCCCCAAGGCTCTACCTGAGTCTGCCTAATAGCCTGCACAGCGGTTTGCCGACCACTGCCCTAGATGAACCTATACATCGTTACACTCCAAGTCCACAGTTTACATTAGGAGTCACGTTTGATGTTGCACATTCTATGAGTTTGGACAAACGAGTAATGACGCATGTCCATCATTAAGTATCATACAGAAGTTATTGTTTAAAAATGTCAGCCGTTTAAACTACTTTTTAGTAACTAACTTTGGTTAATTGTTTAGTAGGTCTGGGGAGGTCTGGTTCACGGGCCCTGTGAGGCCTGCAAGGTCATTTGGTCAGGCCCTGCCAAGGCATTCGGGGTTAGTTAATTGTTTGACCAACTATAGCAGGCTAATTTGTAAGTTGATAATTTTGTATGGCCCTTGAATGATGTTATAAATATCCAATGGCCCTTGGCAGAAAGAAGGTTCCCCACCTCTGGCTTAAAGAATTATAGGCAGGCAACAGGCAGCTGGGTGACATCACGATGCTTTTCTGGCTCCGCTACACCTTTGTTCCCTGTAACTCCCTTGCTACCTGTTTGGCTCCAGTGAAATCACCCCACAGGAAGTGAAAAACAACTTTAAGAAAATGTACAATATTCAGAATATCCAGATATTGTCACTTTCACCAACCTGTAGAAAACCTCTTTGTAAAATAAAGTAAAAAAAAAAAAATGCCTCCTTAGTAGACTGTACTGGGAATTTTAATGACACCGAACTTTGGTTTAAGTAAAATGGCCCACAGGCGAGAAGCAGGAAACTATTCTTAGTACCAGGCTCTCCCGTCCTTGTTTTCTCCAGAAAAGAAATCCTTATTCTAAGTCAAATGGGGGAGCACAGTCAAGAGAGCGTAAGCAGACCACACCCACCATAGAGGAAACACCAGATGTGCCCTCACTCCTGCAGTTGCCTTTCCCCAGTTCTGTCGCTGTGAGCAGTGACTTTTCTTGGCCTTTGTTTGGCTGGGGAGGGAGGTTATTTAAGAACTGCTACCAACTAGTGGGTTTCTTCCTTCGCTTTCCCTCCCCCTCCACCCTGAAATGCAAGCTCTTTTACTTCTTTCTCTTACTTTACCTTTGTAACCATTTCTCTCAATTTCCTACAGATTAGACATAGAAATTCTAGACATGTACTCAGTTTAACAAAATCCTACCACGATAAAATAGTTTAGCTGCCCTTGGAGTTTGTTATAATGCAGTTTTACTTGTATCGAGCTGGCTAGGGAGAAAAATAAAACTGTTAAGAAGAGGAATGAAATGTGGTGGCCAGGGAGGAAGCAGATGGCGATTTTTCTTCCCCTCCGTTTGGAAAATGCATCACTTATTTCTCGGCCTTTCTTTTGCACCTCAGGGTTACTTTCTTTAAGGTTTTTAAATTTTTTTTTTCTTCTTCTTACATTCCAGACAGAGATAGAAAGAATAAAAAAGGAGCTAATCATCGCTTGTTGGTTTATAAATGAATCCAGAAGCTCGCTTTGGAAATGACAACCCCTATAAATGGGAAAGAGGCCTATACTTATTAGAATCCAGAGAAAGCAGCGGTGAATACACTGCTGGGGGCCGGAGGGGCCAGAGGGGTCTGCAGGATGCCAGGAGCTCACCGGGACTGCTGTGCGCATGTCTTTATTTTAGAGTTTGGGCCTGGAGAGGGAGGTAAGGTGCTGAAGCTCTCTCCACTGCAGGAAGTGGACAGAACTCAGTAAACATCAGCATATTGCAAAGTAGGCTGGGACCTTGATATGTTCTCGTAGGAACTGATCCAGGTCAAGAGGGAAGGAGGGAGACTCACTGTCCTCTGAGAGGCATGTGGGAATGATGCCCAGGGGAGGGCGCTGGTTCGAGCAATATGAAGAACCGGAGGGAATCGGGAGGAAGCGACATCTTGACTTGAGGAGAAATTAATGAGGGGATTCCTCAGGACTGGCCTCGGGCAAGGAAGGCCTCTGTGTTGCAGTGTGATTTTCCTCAGGGGGACAGGGAGTCCGTGTGGCAGAAAAGATGGCTGTGCAGGGCACAGGGCGCTCTCGTGTGGCTTCCAGAACACACTGCAGGCGGAAGATGCCTGTTCTGCTGCTCTTTGTCCCCACAATTGCAACTGGTCAGGGTAAGGGACAGATCTGAGACATGAGCGCTGGGTACCAGCAAAGACACTTAGGTGAGAAGAACAAGCCTCGTCCATAGACAGGGAAACAGTGACCTCTGGTCCTGACTTGTTTTCCTTTCCCTTTCGGGTTTGCAATCCAGTGATCGCTTGAAAAATAATGCCAGGCTGCTATCATTTTGAGCCATGGGACTAAGACAGCATCACAATAAGCAACAAAAGACGAATGGGGGACATACCTGAGCAGAGCGGAGTCCCGACAAACTTGGTGACATCCATTCTCTGGGTCGCCCCCCTCCAGTCCGAGATGCCATACATTTTCCTGTGTGTGGGCTCTGTTTTGCATGGGCTCAGCGCTTTCGCACATAACCTCTGGCGCTCGGATCTCAGCTTCTTCTCCTCGATCTCGGTCTTCAGCTTCTTGTTTTCCTGCTGCAGATGGACCATCACATTGTGGAGGTGGCTGGGGAAGGAAGGAGGACAGGTGGGTGTTGGTCTGTGTCAGCTCCTCGGTTCCCCCCCAGGAAAGCACAGAGGAAGGCACCCAGAATGGAGAGACATGGACGCCTGGTTCCTTCCAGAGCGAGCCCTCTCACACGTGCTCTGTGGGAATGGAGCCTTTGTGTGTCCCTGGAAGAGGCCAGGCCTGGGGTTGGGGTGGACTCCGGACCCACTGAGTCATCTCAGCTTTGGCTCTGTTTCCTCATCTGTTAGATGGGGATAACGGAGTGTGACAAGTGAGAGAGAGATCTGACTGGAAGAGCCAGAGGGCTGTTAGGAACAACTCTGACCACGTGTCCTCCGTCTCGCATGGCCATGCCTCGGAAACACTCTCACTCACTCTGTTCTGATGCCCGAGTCCAAGTTCTTTCATCTCCCTTTGCTGGAAGATGGGGAGCATGGGGATCCGGCTCCGTTTGAGAGCTCGGGGGAGTCATATATCCCCGTTTTACAATGAGAAAATGATGGGGAAGATAACTCTGCATGTTTCCCACGGCTTGATCCATGGCAATTATTCACATCGACTGCTGTATTTCTCCACATCAAGGTGGAGGGGAGGGTGACAAGGGGTCAGGGACCAGACTTCCCGGGCTGGAATGCTGGCTCTGCCACTTACTAGTTGTGAGGCCATGGGCAAGTTACTTAGCTGGTGAATCCCTTTCCTCATCCGCCTAAGCTAACACAGGTAAAGCCCTTAGTGCCTTACATGTGTACATAATATATATCAGTGGAGCTATTATTATTATTATTCGAAGATGGTTTTCCTTCAAAGTGATTCAAGAATGGGTTCCTAATGAAGAGAGGACCAGAACTTGGCACAATATAAGAAAAAGCCTGACTGTTCTCTGTTCCCCTCAGATTCGGACAATTTTTCTTTTTGTTAATCCGTTTCAGAAAATATTTTTATCCTAGTGAGAAAATTCCATATATATTTTTTTATTCTAAAGGAAATCAAATAAAAAAATTCATCCTCAACTTCCCCGCTGGGCTTGTGCTTTGCTCTCTTGCTGTCAGTAAACCTGGCCAGAGTGAAAGACACCCAGTGCCTTGAAGCTCCTCATGAGGTCGCCACATCCCACATGCCACTGGGCCTGCAGGTGGGGCCGCCATGCCCCTGGCTCTCTGCCACCCTCTCTGGCCCACTCCTGTCAGCACCCCCAAAGCTTTCAACATTTCGTACTTTCTATCCAAGCCATAGCCTCCCCGTTTCTACCTCCTTATTCCAACGTCCTCTCTTTCCACTCAGGCACCCCTCTCTAGGTCACAGCCTGGAACTGAGCCTTCTACAAACGGGTTGGTTCTAGGTGTGCTGGGATACCTCCGCCCTTAGTGCAGGGTCTGGGGCAGCTGCTGACTGGTCAGAGCAATCCCATCCCAGACCCTTCCAGGTGCCAAACCAGTGTGATCACATTCTGAGTGTTCTCTAGCAGGAGACTGGGAAGCCCTGCCCTGGAGCTTGTCTTTACCTATTACTACTCCACCTTTGAAATCTCAGTTTTAGACATTCATATCTTTACTCCATTCCTGAACTTCCAACACTCCTCTCTTGCCACTCTCTGCTGATCCGGTTTAAAAAAAAAATAAAAATATATATATATATATATATAAATTATTGATTTTTTATAGAGAGGAAGAGAGAGGGATAGAGAGTTAGAAACATTGATGAGAAAGAATCATCAATCAGCTGCCTCTTGCACACCCACTACTGGGGATGTGCTCGCAACCAAGGTACATGCCCTTGACCAGAATCGAACCCGGGACTCTTCGGTCCGCAGGCTGATGCTCTATCTACTGAGCCAAACCAGTTTCGGCTGCTGATCCAGCTTTGACCATGAAAATAAAGCAAGGCCCAGAGGAGGGTAGAGCAATAGGTAGAAGGATCTAGGTCCCCAGAGGACCTTGTGGGACAGAGGAACCCCGCCAACCTGGACTTCTCACCTCCTAGAGCTGTTTCTTCTATATTCTATGTTCCTCCACTTGAAGATCTTTGTTACAGCAACTTGGCTTCCCCACCCTAACTAACACAGTCTGCTTTCTGTGCTCTTTCCTTCTCCACGTTTCTGACCTCAGAGAATCTCAGAAAGTGATAGTGGAAAGGCACATGGAGACTATTAACTTCCTTTTATTATTGTTGAGGGAACTATGGCCTCAAGAGGTAGAGTGATGTGCCCAAGGTCTCACAGAGGTGGATAGGACTGGGGCTCTTTCCAAAGTCCCAGGCCTTTCCTGGGGTCTGACCCACGTAGCCAGTGAGAAAGCCAGCCCTGGCTCCTGGCCGGTCCTTCTACGTAGGGCCCAAGCAGCAGCCAAGGTGGGGTGGGATTACTTACTCCTTTTCACCCGTCAGCTTGGCAATGTATTTGACCTGTTCACGGAGCTTGTTTCCTAGTTGCTCATTGGCGACCCTGTAATAAAATCCACGAGAAGAGAGTTCCCGGACCCCTGTGAGCAGAGCATGGGCCGGCTACATGGGACATTGGGTGTTCTCAGCAAGGCTTCTGCGGGGCCCCAGTCCCCAGAGCTGAAGCCTTCCTGGCCCCTGGCAATTAAGAGGATTCTCCATACTCAACTCCTGTGCAGATTCCCTGTGATCCCAGGCAAGTTCAGGGGATCTAGACAGTGAAGCCGGACCTCAGGCTGGGAAGAGGAAATCTGACCCTCAGGGAAGCACTCATCAGAGCTGCTCCTCTTCTACATCAGCAGGTTCTTCTAGCTTACCCCCAAGACTCGGGTGTGGGCCGAGATGGGGTCAGCTTCCCAGAAGGACAGTGTGTGTGTGTGTGTGTGTGTGTGTGTGTGTGTGTATGTGTGTGTGTGTGAGAGAGAGAGAGAGAGAGAGAGAGCGAGAGAGAGAGAAGAGTCTATATTGTGGCACATGTATGGGTCCTCAGTTTAGCCCAGCCCTTGGGACCTGGCCTTATTTTTTTCTTACTTACTTCTGCTCTTTTGCCCATTGCTCCATGTTGGTCATGATCTGATCATTTTCTCGGTGCATCCTGCAGGGATCTTTGAGCACAGACCGCTGGGGCAGGCAGCAGGGCTTTGTAGAAGAAGAAAATGAGATGGTAAGGGGTGGAAGCATGGGCCCCTCACCTCCCTGCTCCCAAGTCAGGCCTCTTCTCTCTTCCTGGGAGAAGAAACACTGCCTCTGCTGGCCAGAGTTGGAACTGCCACAGCAGGATGCCACCTCCAGCATGCAGGCTGCATCCACAGGAAGATGCCATCTCTGAGCAGCCACCGTTTACCAGTACAGTAGAGACAAAGTGGGCTTGTACACTTATTTTCAGGCCAAAGGCATTATTGTTCTAAAAAAAAATCAGTTAAGCTAATTTTTTAAATGGAAAGAAAAAATACCTTGAGGAAGAAATGCCCCCTCCCCCCTCAATTGGAGCCAAGGCCTTGTGGCCACCCCAAGGTATCCTACAGCTTTCTGCCATGAATTTCACTGCTAGGGTGCCAGGCACGGGGCACATCCTAAGATCTTAGCTGAATCCACTGCAGGGAAAATAAAAGCATCAGAATGGGTTCTGGAAGGAAACTGCCCAGTGGCACCTGACAGGGAAGGATGTGGCATTCTTTCTCTCCTAGAATGGCGCTTTTGTTTTGCTCAATATCTCTGTCAGTAAAGCCACAGGAAGATGGTTAGGGCGACACAAACGCTATAGCAGCTAGACCCTGCTTTGTGCTGAATAGAGCAGGTGTCTTTCCTTGCTCCCAGGCACCTCCATCCCCCACCAAGGGCTGTTCGGTAGCCAGGTGGCTGTAGGCAGTGCTGGGAGGAAGGGGGAAGAAGTGACCGGAAGTCGAGGAGCACCTACATCCTTCTCGTCGGCAAGGAGGTTCTCCTTCAGGGTGGTCATTTCTTCCTGGAAGGACTGGAGCTGCTCTTCCTTAGCGGCCAGCATCTTGAGGTCACACTGGTGCTGCTTCTGCCACTGCAGCACTTGGTTGCTCATCTCCTCCAGCTTCTTGTCGAAGGCGTGTACCTGCTCAGGGGCGCAAAGTGAGGAGGAGACCCCAGTTAGCCCCCCTGGTCCCAGAGACCCATGACCAGGCCAGAGAGGGCCCTTTCTCAGCTTTGTTAGGGGGCGTTTTATTGCCAGTGGCCAGCAGAGGGCGCTGCTGCTCTGATCGTTGCCTCCGGGCCTTAAAACACGCACAGGACCAAACAAGGGGAGGGAACCCATTATGGCTCCGTGCTAAAAAGCTATGGGTGCAAGAGGTGACCTTGAGGACCTGGAAGTGGAAGGCAGCCTGAGCCCCAGGCTGCTTCTCACCTCTATCTCACTCTCCTGATGGAAGCCTTGAAGTTTTTTTAATTCCATGTTGAGCTTTTTCATCCTCTCCTCATAAGCCATGATCTCCTCTTCCAGCTGAACTTTCCTATCTTGGGCCTGCATCAAGCTTCGGTGCAGGCTCTTGGTCTCTGAGATCGAGTGGTTGAGCTTTAGGTAAAGACAAAGGGGATGAGGTGACCCTCAGAGCCCTGTGGGCCTCTCTGCTGAGCTCTGAATGGAGAAGGGTTCCAACATTCCCCCTTCTCCCCCTCCCCCGCCTCAACCAAGGGTGGCAGACTCCCAATCACTTTCCTATGTCCCACAGAAGGAAGGAAGTGACAGGAGTTGGTTTTCTGCATCCCTACAATCCCTCCTCTGTTACCTCTCTTTTTAGTCCGGTGAATGGATCAGTCAGACATGGTCAGCACAGGGATGGGGCATGAAGTTACCTGATAACCCACGTTTTGGGAAGACCTTGCCTGGGTCGCCCGTGGGCAGAAAGATCTGCCAGATTTGGCCTCCCTCCTGCTCCTCTCAGCCCTCCCCAAAACCCTTACTCAGAAGAAGTGTGCCTTCTCTGGACAGACATCCCAGCTCGTGCCGGGGTTGGCACGAGCCTCGGGGACAGTCAGTGGTGCAGGAAACCGGTTTCTATGCCTCTCCCGCCGCTGGGACATTTCTGTGTCCTAGAGATCCAGGGTGTGGCCCACCTTCTCGAGAGCCTGCGTCAGGTCGTCTTGGCAGGCAGCTGACTTCCGGGATAGTTCCTCATAGACTTCTTTACTGACCGTGGTTTGCTTAAACTGCTGCTCTTTCTGCTTCGCCCTCTCCAGCTGGGCCTGCAGACTCGTTATGGTCTCCTTCTGAGAGGCTACCTTTAGGGAGGGGGAATATCACCATCAGGGTTCATGGCGATGGAGGCATTCTCTGTGTCCACGGGAGATAGGACGGGCGAGCGCTGGGCTCTCCTCTCTCCGCACCAACCCGTAGAGCAGTGTGTGAGAATGCCCCCATCTCCACCGCCTTGTTGTAAAAGGAAGAGCTGCCATTCCAGGCTCTTCTGCACTCCTCGCCCCACTCTTCCTCTTCTAGTTAGCATGTCCCCCCCAGTACAAGGTCTCCTGGAGGTTCTGGGCCATGATTTTCAAGCACATGAAAAACCATTTTCCAGACTTTGCAGCCTTTGATAAAGATCCAGTTCTAGGATGGGAGACACGATATAGTATCCGTTGTGTGCATTATGCCTCACTTTGTTCCTGACATATTCATTAGACTTACTGCCCCATGAAAATAGGGCTGCACCTGCTTTCTTCATCTCTGTATCCCATCACTGACAGCTCAGGGCGTGGCACATAATAGGTGCTCAGTAAATATTAAAATCTTTTTTGACTGAGTGAAATACTGCATGGGGCAATGTTTGACATTAGAGATGCACTGAATACATAGTTCTGGCAGACGTATATTTAAAAACGAAAGCCTGTGTCTTACACGTAAGTCTTGAGTATTCGTGCTGAGACCCTGGCTCTGTCATTTACTTCATCTCTCTGAGTCTCAGTGTCTTCTTCTGCAAATCGAGATATTTTCAACTTTTGTGATGATCAAATGGGATGTAAAAAGTGTTTTGTAAGGTTATATATGCTACATAGCTGTGAGCTATGATCATGAAGATGCTAAGTTATTAGCCATTTTATTCTGTACTTTTAAGTACAGGATAGACATCTAAGTCTGGAAGCAGGAGAGAGACCTCAGAAATTCACGTGCCTGACTTCTGTGTTTTGGTATTCCCGCACACTGCATTCTCCATGTGTGTGTGGCCACACACACACACACACACACACACACACACAGAAACAGTCTTTTGGGTTTTCTTCAGTAACTGCTCAGGGCTCGAAGTTTACTGCTTTTTTCAAGTGGAATTCTGAGACTCTCTGACCTTAGGAACTAGTGAACGGGAGAAGCGTTACACTGTATTTTTGCCCCTCTATTTATATATCTGGAAGGGAGTGGTGAAGTTAATCCTAAAGGTGGAATAATTTGGTCTGCAAATAAGAGTACAGTGTTTGGAGACTTTGGGAAACCACGGGGTCACCTGGGTCTGCACAGTAAACCAGGGGAGTTGGTGGAGAAATTACAATTCACCACAGGAGGCTCTGGGCCCAGCAGGTAGCCGCATTTCTCTGGTGGAGGAGAGCTAGGAGCCCATTTCGGGCCCACGGACACTGGGTCAAAGTTACTTACTCCCTTGGGGTTTCTGTCTACTCACCTCATTGGTCAGTTCTTCGATGGTTTTCTGGGAGGCGTTCTGTTTGCTGAGAGCGGACTCCAGTTGTGTAGAAAATCTATGACCCCGTGCTTTGTTATTCTCATTTTCCTCCTCCAACTTCTGTAAAGCCTCCTTTGACTGTTCCCCAATTCAAGAACAAGCCCAGAAAAGAGGTGTTACCCTCAGACTCCTATGGAACCCCACTCCTTTCCTCACCCACAGCTCCATTCTGCACTCTGTGGTCTCTCAGGCCTTCTCTCTCCCTTTCACCTGCCTTCCCCCCTCACCGCCCCCCGCCCCTGAAGTCTGAGTACCCACAGCCTCCGTTTTGTTTCTAGTCTTCCAAGATTCTCCTTCTTACCGTCTTTTCTTTTTTTTTTAATTCCTGTCGGAGTGTCTCAATCTCGGCCTCCACCACCGTTTCCCGTTCTTTACTTTTTTTCAATTGTTCCCGTTTCTCTTCTAGTAACCTTGTTACTTCCTTCAGCTCCTCTTCTAGAGTGGTTTTGGCGCTGGTTAGCTCTCTGAGCTGAGAAAATGAAAACTGAACTGAAGGACAGTTTTAGACTGCATATTTTTGGAAAAGCACATAAACAAACTCAGACAATTGTATTTACACAGGGAATGGCTGAAATAAATATGAGGACAACTTCTTGGTTATTTAGCCTGTAAAAGTTTCTTCTGATGTTCAGCAACATTTTACATTTTTTTTTTCAAGTAGATATAACAACTTATTTTATTTATAGAACCAGCTCCCACTGTATCAACCTTTTCTCCCGATTACCGACTCTTTCCACATAAAACCTCTGCGAATAAAGTTTTAAAGAAATCCGAGCAAAGCACAAAAAGAATAATTCAGAGATCAAAGGTTTTAACTTAACTGACAAGGATAGCTTTTGAATCCTAGAAAAACAACAACACATTGTCCTTTGACTATTTATCCTCACCCGAGGATATTTTCCCATTGCTTTTAGATAGAGCGAGAGGGAGGGAGGGAATAAAGGGAGGGAGGGAGGGAGGAAGGAGGGGGAGGGAGAGAGAGAGAGAGAGAGAGAGAGAGAGAGTTGAGAGAGACAGAGATGTATTAGAGACACATCAATTGGTTGCCTCCTGTATACAATTAACCAGGGCCAGGAACGAACCTGCAACCCAGGTAGGTGCCCTTGACCAGAAATTGAACCTGAGACCCTTTGGTGTGCAGGCTAGTGCTCTAACCCCTGAGTAACACCAGCGAGGGCTGTCCTTTGACCATTTTTAAGCCTAGCACTTGAAAATACTTATTATTGGTCATGGGAACTGGAGCTGACTAGCTGGCTTAGCATTCTAACACAAATTCCAGACAATTCGTTTGCCATGGATTGGTGGTGGCATCTTCCCAAATAAAGACCCATCTATTTAACGTTAAACAGAGCAAAATGCCCTGAGCTGGCAGCCTACTTGTTCTTCATACCTGGTGCTGTAGGGTTTTGATACGATCTATATGTTCATTTAGTTTCATTTCCTGCTCAGTCACTGTCTTCTGAAACTGCCTCTTTTCCTTCTCTGAAATTTCAAACTTCCTCACGGCCTCAGAGAGTTCGAATGTCAGCTCCTCTATCCGTTTCCTAAAGCAAAGTGGCAGGAAGTAGGAGGACGGGCTGTGGTCTGTGTGGGTGGACTGTGAGCTGGCTATCCCACTCCCGGGCAGTGGCCCGCTGGGTCCTAGCTGGCTCACTAGGGACAGAGCCTGTCTCCGGAGGTAAACCTGTGGTACCTGCTGGGTGCAAGTTCCTCCCCAGCTGTCTGGGAATTCTTCTGCAGCTTCTGGATCTCTCGCTGCAGCTCCTGGATGGTGTCGGCCTTCTGCTTCTCCATGAGAACGCAGTTCTGCAGTTTCCTCTGGCAGTCCTCCAGGTTCGTCTTTGCCAGAGCGGCCTCCTCTTTGTACTGGGCTGCTTGCTGAGCTGTAAGGACAGGAGACAAGCCAGGGGCATGTCCTCGTGAGAGGGAAGGATGTGTGAAGATCACACTCTCAAATCAGACCAGTGAAACAGTCCGTTCCTTCATGACCTACTTCAATTTCCCATCTGTCCTCATCTCTCTCCATTTCTTTATCGCTCTTAAGGGGCGCTGTTACATCATCTGTCTTCAACTACCCTTCAGCTGTAGTCTCCTTCTTCACCAAAATGAAACAAATTGATAGGGATGGCTCAGTGCATCTTATGCAACTCATCCTGCCCTTGGGCACACGCCCTGACCCTCTAAGAGCTTAGAGTCTAGTGAGGAACCATAGTTGCCCCTCTCGACAAGAGTGCACTGCAATGTTACACTTGCCATGGTGTTAAGCCAGGAAGCACGTCAATGTGAGGACCGTTGGAGGTGGACTTACAGAGGAACAGAGGTAGGGTTACACCTTAGAAGAAGGAAATCCCAGGTGAGAGGAATGTTAGCGTAAATGCTTGGTGAAGGGAAGGGGAAGGCCTGAGGGAAGAGGATGGGCAGAGACTGGTGTGATTGGGAAACTGGGTAGGAGTTCTGGGAGACAGAGCTGAGGAAGTGCCTGAACTAGAGGGGGGTTTGGAGGACTTTGAGAGAAAGTTTAGACTTGATTTTTGGGTTCTTGGGCAGGAACCGGACATGAAGGAAAGAATGCTTTAGGAACATTGTGATGGATTAGAATGGAGATCTATTTCCTGCAATATCCTTCAGCTCACGTCCTTGCCTTCACTGGGCACGAAGCTGCTTACTGGAGTGTCTCTATGCCAAATATGTCCCCATATCCAGCAGTTTCTACTAACATTTCTACTTTACACATCAGTCTCCTCTCCATTTCTCAGCCTAGGACAATGGAGGAAAGATGGTGTCACTATGGAAATAATTTTACACCTTGTAAGAAGGGAGGAAAAAAATTTAAGGGGAGAGAATAGGTTCAGTTTGAGGAAAGTTGAGTTAGAGGAGAAGGTGAGTTGTCCAGGGAGAGCTAGTCTCTAAAAATAAGACTGGCAGAAACCGGTTTGGCTCAGTGGATAGAGCATCGGTCTGCGGACTGAATGGTCCCAGGTTGGATTCCAGTCAAGGGTATGTACATTGGTTGTGGGCACATCCCAAGTGGGGAGGTGTGCAGGAGGCAGCTGGTCGATGTTTCTCTCTCATAGATGTTTCTAGCTCTCTACCCCTCTCTCTTCCTCTCTGTAAAAAATCAATAAAATATATTTTAAAAAATATGACTGGCCACAGGTGTGAGATCAGGGCCTGTGCCTAGGTTTGGAGTCATCTGCAGGGCAATGCAGCTCCAAGGAGGAGAGGCGCTCACTAAAGAACAAATGCAGAGGGAAATGAGGAGAGGAAGAGGGCAGAGGGCAGAGTCTTAGGGATGAATGATTCTGAACGGGGGCCAGGGGTGGGGGTTGGAGGGTGGGGGAACAATTATGAGATTTATGAGACCTGTTGTATCTCCAAAGCTGAGAAACACTTGTTGAGGTATGCTGGCCAACAGCACAGACAGAGTCAAAGGAGGGTGAGGAAGCCCGGCTTTGGACCTTTTACTTTTTCCCAATTTCTATGTCACATAACACAAAATTTACCCTTTCAAAGTGTCTAGTCCAGTGGTTGCTGGCATCCTCACAAAGGTGAGCAACCATCATCAATATCCAATTCTAGAACATTTTCATCACTTCATAGGAAACCCTATGTCCGAGGCAAGAGCTACTGGTGACCTCTGAGAAAGCAGAGGAACAAGGACACAATCCATAGTGTAAGCTGCATGGAAGAGAATTTTTGGAGGCCACCCCCCCCCCAAAAAAAAAAAAAAAAGGGAGAAAGAGTAAAAAAACTAGGAAAGAAGCCCTGGTCGGTTTGGCTCAGTGGTTGGAGCACTGGCTTTTAGACCAAAGGGTCATGGGTTCAATTCCCTGTCACGGGCACATACCTCCGTTGCGGGTTTGATCTCCGGCCCTAGTCAGGATGTGTGATGGAGGCAGCCAGTCGATGTGTCTCTCTCACACTGATGTTTCTCTCCCCTTCTTTCTCTGTCTCTCCCTCCCTCCTCTATGCCTCTCTTTCAAAAATCAGTGGAAAAATGTCCTCAGGTGAAGACTGAAAACAAAAACAGGGAAGGAAGAGATGAATTGTGGGACAAAAGTTCTGGAGAAGATGGAGAGGAATGTAGTGCAAAGAAACAAAGTACAGCCCTGCCCTCCCTGGCAGAGAAAGGAGAGGATCTTTTTCTGAACTGCTGAGCAAACAGCAGGCAGTTCACAGTCCCAAACTGCACACCTGCTGTGTGGGGAAGGTTCCAGAGAGAAGGTGAGGCTGGAGATGAATGAAGTAACTGCTGAGATGTGAGATGAGATCAAAGGAAGATTTAAAGTGAGAGAGTAAGGAAGCAGAGGGGGACGGCCATTGAGAGAGAGAAAGGGGCTCCAGCCCCATGTGTTGGGAGTGTGGTGGGCAGCGCTTGCTGGGGCCTCACCAGCCATCCTCTGCTGCTGCTGGGTATTTTCAAGGAAGTCCTTCAGCTTCTCCACCTCGGCTTGCAGGGCCCCGCACTCCGCCTCGCATGTGTGCTGCTTCATCTCCCGGAGGGCCATTTCCAGTTCTGTCGTCATCAGCTGCTGCTTCTCAAACTCCATCTCTTTTTTCAGGAGGGTTGTCTGAACCTGTGTCAGTTCCTTCTCTAGCTCGTGCAGCATTTCGTCTTTCTCTTGGAGGAGCTGAGGAAAGCAACACGTTAATGCTAACGAAGGCCTGACAGTGGCAGGCCTGACAGTCTCCAACCAGAGACTGTCTGGAGCCCTCTTACAGCCACCATCTTCTCATGCCTGGATATTGCAATAGCCTCCTACCTTAGCTCCCTGCCACCCCTCACTGCAGCAACCAGGGCGGGGGTGTGGGGGTGTGGGGGTGTGATGGCTCTAAAAATGCAAATCAGCTCTTGTATACCTCTGATCAAAACTATACACTGGCTCCATCTCACTTAGAAAGAGGCCTCTCAGGATGATGCTATGCTCATGACCTGGTCCTTGGCTACTAGGTTGACCTCACCTCTTGCCACCCCAACCCTAACTGCAAGAGGTGGTCTCCCTAGAGCCCGCCAAAGGGACTCCCACTTGAGAGCTTTTGCACTTGCTATTCTCTCAAGACCTTTGCCTGGGTGGCTCCCTCACTTCAACTCTCTTCCCAAATGTCACCTTGTCAGAGAGGCCTTCCCTGATACAGCCCTAAACTATTTTAGGAATTTATCAGTATCTGACATACTAATTCCGTTATTTGTTTATTGTCTGTCTTTCTACACTAGAATGTAAGCTCCATGAGAGTAAGAATGTTTTATTATTATTCTTTTTTTAAAAGTTATCGTTAAAAGTTAAATTTATTGGGGTGACATTGACTAATAAAAATTTTATAGGTTTCAGGTATACAATTATATAATAATTTTAGTTCCTAGAACAGTGCTTGGCACATCTTAGGAGCTCAAAATATTTGTTGGATAAATATAGGAATGACTCAAAGCCTCCCCCCACCCCACCCCACCCCACCCCACCAGATGCCTTGCTTCTTGCTGTCCTCTCTCCACATGCCTCTATTTTGACTGATGGACCACCTTTGTGCCTTGAAATCGGAGGTGTGGATGACCAGTCAGTCAACCAGATGGATTATTTCTACTCGCTCTGATCAAGTTTAGAGCTGGATAGTATTGACTAAGAAGCTTTTGTCCTTGGTTTCATTCCTAGGCTTCTCCAGGGCCTTGATTTTTGTCGGCAACTACAGATCCTTTAGGGCGGAGCTCCCTTAATATTTTCAAACTGCCTGATTTGCATATACTAAGATATTTTGTCATTTTACAAATTGAAATCCACTTTATAGTTTTAATTAGGCTACTCATTATTTTATATTATTACTTTCCACTATCAAGCATGAACAAAAGCATAAAGGAACAATGCCAAGTGTGTTCCTAACTCTGCAGGGCTGGGGACAAATCTATTTCTTACTAGAGGCAATATCTCTATTAAGGTAATGCTATTTTATTTATTTATTATGAGCTATAAGAAGTACTAAAGAAGTCCTCAGAATCGTCTCTGGGCCCGAAGAGACAACTGGACACATTGTACATGTGTTGATGCCCCCAAGCATTCACAGGGGGTGCAGAATTGCCGAACGTGTTCTGTCTGGCCAAGGCCTGGCCTCGCACCCGCCCTATTGCTAGTTCCGACTAGAGAGCTCCTCGCCTCACCGTGTCTTTCTGCAAGCCGAGCTTTTGGGTCTCAGTGAACTGCGCCTGCAGCTCCTGCAGCCGGAGCTGCAGGATGATGACCTCCTTGTCTTTCCTTTCCATGTGGGCAGATGCCTCCTCTCGCAGCCCGTGCAGGTCCAGCTCCAACTTCATCATTTCTACAGCGGGGCCAGACAGAGGGCTTCTTGCTTAGAGGCGGGTTCTGCCTTCCTTCTGGAGCCCCACCCTTTGGCCACAGCCCACCAGCCCACGCTGTACCCTTCATGATGTTTTTCTTTTGTTCTGACACGGTCTCGAGCTCCATGCGCAGGTCCTTCACGAGGTTCTGGTACTCTTCCACGTGCAGGCACTGGCTGTCTTTCTGCTCCTGCAAGTGCTTCAGTATCTGGAAAGATGGAAAAGAGAAGGGCAAGGTGAGAACATGGGGGAAGAACACTTTCTAAAATCCCGAATGTCCAGAACAGGCAAATCCGGAGGGTAGGAAGCAGAGTAGTGGTTGCCAGGGGTTGGGGGTGGGGTGGGTGATGGGCAGTGATTCTTCATGGATACCAGTTTCTTTCTGGATTGATGAAAATGTGCTAGAACTTATTATGTGCTATGAGAAGTATTGAAGAAGTCCTCAGAATCTTCTCTAGGCCCGAAGAGACAATTGAACACATTGTACATGTGGCGACGTTGCCCTACTCTGTGAATATATTATAGGACACGGATTGAACACTTTCAATGGTGAATTTTATGGTCTGTTAATTACATATCCATTTAAAAATATAATAAAAAAAAGGGTATGGCAGACTTCTCACACTCACATTGAATGTGTACGAAGGAAGCCAATTCTTCCTCCCTATAACAATCAGTGTCATTGACAGAGCATGTACCAAGTGCCAGGCACTGTCCCCGGTACTGCAACACAGACACAAAACCTTATCCCCATGGAGCTGACCATCTGGGGGGGATGAGCATAATAGTAGTGACTTATAGAAAACAGAAATGGGTAAGTGCTATGGAGGAAGAAATAGAACAACAAAGGGGAATGGAGGTAATGGGGCAGAGACAGGTATGTGGGGTTGCAATATTAAGTAAGATGGGCTGGTTGGCCTCACTGTGCAGTGACTTGCTGGAGGTAAGAGTGTGAGCATGTTGTAGGTATCTGAGGGAAGAGCTTTGTAGCCAGTGACAAGACCCCGGAGAAAGAACATGGAAGAGGCCATGTGGTTACAATGGAGTGAGTGATGGGGAAAGTGGCAGGAGATAAGGTGAGGGAGTTAGGGGCAGTCACATCACGTGGGACTGTAGTCCCTTGGCAGGGACATTGGCTTTTATCCTGAAGGAGAGGAAGATGGGCTGTAACCAAGAGAAGGCAGGGGCATATACACTTGGCAGAGGAGGAACAATGAGATGTCTGGGCATCAAGGGAGGTGGGAAGAGATAGTCATGTGACTTCAGAGTTGACAGTGAGGGAGGCCTGCAGTAGGAAGGCAGGGGACAGCTGGAGAAATACAGGCCAGTCACCACTTGACTCAGGTGGGCACTGCAGGGACTCCAAGGTCCAGTCTATGTCAGGCCGGTGGAGGGGGAGAGGACTGCTGGCATTAACTGAGATGTGGATGGTTCGCTTCCCAGTAGAATATCCAGGCAACATGGAGGCTTTGGATAGGATATAAAATGGTGGGGGAAGGTATATCCTATTTCTTGGGAAAGTCTGTATTATTAAAAAAAAAAAAAAGGAATGTTAAAAGAGGAATTAGTGTCTAACGGATATAGAATTTCAGTTTTGCAAGATGAAAAAGTTCTAGAGATTTGTTGCACACCAGTGTGAACATACTTAACATGGATGAACTGTACACTTCAAAGTGGCTAAGATGGAAAATTTAATGTCATGTGTTTTTTACAGCTATAAAAAAATGAAGAGTAAGGGAGAAATGAAGACACTTTTCAGAAAAAAAAAGAAAAAAAAGAAAGAAAAAAAAGAGTTCTACCCTTACTGCAGGACAGGATGTGAATAACATGGAACTGATCTTTAAAATAAATATTGGCAGATATCCAAGGAGGAAACTCCAAAGTTCAATACTGATCCTTCATTCACTCAAATCAGAAAGTCCTGGAAAGAGGGGTCCCTGCTCCCTGATTGGGAACCCCTTGAAGAACTTATATATGTGTCATCTACTCTCTCTGCTGCCCCTCGCTGTCCCTATTTCAGCCTCAGCAGGCTGCCCTTCCATGCCCCAGCATGGCTGCAAGTGCCTGGCTTTGTCTTGTACCACGAGTTCAGGTATGACTCACCTAAGAGGAGACCTGACTTAGTTTTGACTATATGTTTGGTCAAATCTTGCTATTTGTTTACATGGTTTAAATGCTTAGTCATTATGTGAGTCAACTTTTGAGATGCCGTTAAGTTTCTAAAATATCAGGTTTTCAAAAAGAGAGTGAATTTGAATTAATAATCTTCCCTGAATTTGCTACTTTTCAACTCCAACCAGAAGCTAGAAGGCTGGAATGGTCCTTATGAATCTGACAAGCCAACAGGACTCTATCTAGTTTAGGTGGACTGATGGAAGCACATTAAGAGACAGGTACAATTCAAAAAAACCAGTCCCAAAATCTAATGCTGGCAGACACACTTGCTAGGGCATGGCAGTATCCATGTGGCAGGGCCAACCAAAGCCACACAAATACAAAATACAATAAAATGTGATATAAAAATTAAAAATAAGCAGGAAAACTCAGAACCACACCCCATTTGACAGGACCCACCCGGCACAAATAAGCAAAAGTTGTCCCACCTTTTTGATGTCTTCACAATCCTCCGAGGAGCTAGGAGGATGCCGGTGGGTGGCTGTATAAGAAGCAAAGTCCGCTTGTAATTTTATCAACGCCTCCTCACGCTCCAGAACCTGCAAAGAGCCCAAGTAGGTTAGGCTGCAAAATCAATGTATCATGTTTATACTGTTTTAGCAGGGTGTTCATTTTAATAGCCCAAGTTTCTTGTAACATTATATAATTCATTACACACTTCCTGTGGGGTGGATCTGGGGCAGGAGTTATGTTCACTAAGGCATAGACAGTGATTTGTCTTGAGTTTGTCAGTGGACACCTTTTGGACTCTCTCCTGAGCCTCTATGTGGTCCAGTTTGTTAGGCAGATGAAAGTTCATTGGAGGCTGTGAATTAGGGAAGATGCACTTAATCTATCAGAGGATGGGATTCAAAGTTCAAGAATTAAAGAAGGAAAAATTTTTTAATGGAATGGGTAAATGTGTATGTACTTTCTAAAAACAAACAAACAAACAAAAAAACATGCTGAAACCAGTTTGGCTCAGTGGACAGAGCGTTGGCCTGCGGACTGACAGGTCCCAGGTTTGATCCGTTCAAGGCATGTACCTTCGTTGCGGGCACATCCCCAGTTGGGAGTGTGCAGGAGGCGGCTGATCAATGTTTCTCTCTCATCGATGTTTCTAACTCTCTACCCCTCTCCATTTCTCTCTGTAAAAAATTAATAAGATATATATATATATATATATTTTTTTTTTTTAAATAAAACAAAAAACATGAAATATTTGTTCCCCTATATACTGGAAATTGACAATACTTCTATATCATGTTCAGAGACATTGATAAACAACAGTGGAACCATACATAAGATTCTGTAACTTATTCTCCACAATTTATCACAAACATCCCTCTATATAGCCCTTACAGATCTGTGTGATCCATTTTCTTGGCTGCACAGTATTCTCTAATGTGGATATCTCTTTGTTTTTATTTATTTATTTATTTATTTATTTATTTATTTTTAAATTTCTTTATTGATTAAGGTATCATATATTTGTCCTCAACCCCCCAACGTCTCTTTACTCATTATTGATGAGCACTTAAGTTGTGTGAAAGATTTTCTGAGTCTTTACAATCTTGGACTTAGTGTGAATGGGGAGAATGCATACTAGGGAGAATTTGAATAAAAACTTGCAGAGGCAAGTTTATTTAAGACATTTGAGGAGTCTTGGTGGAAAAGATTACTTTAGGTGACTCTCTCTCCCTCCTTTCTTTTCTCATGGTTTTGTTTTGGGTCTCAGAAAGTGTTCTAGAAGAAGGCTCTTACCAAAGCATTACTGCAGGCTAGCTTATTTCGAAGTTCCTGGATTAGATCATCCTGTTCAGAGACCTTTTGCCAGACTTCAGAGAGTCGTTTCAGGGTCTCCTGATGTTCTTGAATCATGCAGGGAGAAGTGTATATACGAACCTTTGAATAATCGCCCTTGTTCTCAGGTTCCTGGGATATTTAAAAACAAGGGGTGTTTTTGTTTATAATTTTTAAGACTGCTGTGAGCATGAATAAAAACACTCTGGACTTATATTCTAAAAGTTTATGTTCATTCATGTGAATCATAACTTTCTAAACAAAGGAAAAAATTAACAAGTGTATAAATATGGTATAAAGTTCAAACAGTTCAGGAGAGAATATACTGAAAAGTCAGTTCTTCCACCTTGGCCTTCTATAATATGACTCAGTCCCCCTCCTGCAATACAGTCCTTGTTACCAGTTTTTTGGGTATCTTTTCAGAAAATTTTATGCATATATGTATATGTATAAAACCCCCTAGTTATTTTGTCTATACAAATGAAAAGTCTTCTATACACTAATGTAAATTGTGTTTTTACTTGACAATTTATTGAGGACATTTTTCATTTTGTTACTTGTACATCTACTTTTAAAGTTAATTTCAAATTGCACAAGTAATGCATATGTATCCTATCTTTCTAAAACATTGGAATATTAAAATTTCTCTGATCACTTCCACTAATCCTTTACTCATTGCATTCTCTAAAGATGACCATTTTTGCATAGCCTTCTAAAACATTATCTGTACATTTACATACATACAAACAAACCTGTAGAATGCAAATAATATGTTGTCTTTTTAAAACATAAAGATAGATTTTTTTCACTTAACAAAAAAATCTTATAAATTTATCAGGTTAGTACATGTGCCTTTATCTTGTTCTTTTAAATTCCTTTTAAGTGTATTTATCTAGACTCCTATTGATGAGACTATAGGTTGTTTTCCAAGTTTTGTTTTCCCCTAAAATGAACTTGAATATTTTTGCATAGAAATCTTTGAGTACATTTTCTGGTATATGTGTAAATTAAATTCATAGAAGTAGGACTGATAGGATATATTTAAGACTTTGATAGATATCACACAATTGCTCTTCAAAGACATTGTATCAATTAACATCCTCATCAGTATTAGTATGCCTGTATTACTTATGTAATAATAATAATAAAAAAAGCAAATGAAAAACAAATACAAATGCAGGCATTTTGGCTCTTTGTTCACACAGTTCGTGGCTTTCTCTTCCTGTTTGATCCTGAAGTCATGCTTTGCATGAGTCCTATGACCTAAAAGAGCCCTTCACCAGATCCCCATGAGAACATGGCAGATTTGAGAACACATCTGGTAATTCATTTTCTGCCTTATTTGAAGTGGTGGCTAAAAGGGGATGTGGAGGCTGGACGTTCAAAGCTGAGGGCTGCGCAATTCAAGGGGAGGAATGATATCTGGTTGAAGGTCTGGCTTTCTGGCAGCGGAGGCTAGGGCTGGTACAGGGGACCACTTGGAAGCTTGTCTACTCGCTGGAGCTCCTGGTTTGAGGCCTAGGTTAGGTCCTACCTGACTGACAATCCCGCTGAGTTCCCCCTCCAACATCTTCACTTGACATTCCAGTAACTCAATGTTGCTTAGGGAAGTCTGGTATTTATCCCTGTAGAGGTTTAAGCTTCTTTCTAGGGAGACAATCTTGTCCCCGGCCAAGGCGAGTTTCTCCTGTGCCAAATGGAGCTTCTTCCCTGTGTTTACAGAATGCGTTCCAATTTCCTCCTCATACAGAATCACCTGTTGGTGTAGGAATGAAACCACACTGAACCCATAGAAGCATCTAATGAGAAAGGAATATTGCTATGAGACTCCATGCAGAGTTTAACGCATCTTAAGAAACACAGGCCCCAGTACAGATCTAAAAGCTACAATATAATATCAGAACATTAATGGTTAGAAATAAAAAAGGTTGTCTTATTTAGGTGCTAAGCTTCTTAAAGACAAAGGCCATATTTATTTCCCATTCTGCTGGGTGTGTAGTAAGAATTCCATAAAGACTTGTTAGTTTATTAATAGGAATCAATTTGTATAGCTCCATTAAAAAAGTTTTTTAAGGGCTTGAAATGCCAGTTTTCTCTCTTCCCTAGATATTCTCTAGGGCTCTAATTTAGAAGATGTAGAGCACCTTGGGCACACAGGTCCATGTCAGCAAAGTTCCCTGGAGACAGTGGGGCAACATGACCCCAAGTTCCTCTGAGATTTGTACAATCCTTATTTAGATTTCTTTTCTTCCTAATCAATTAATTAGCCAACCAATGGACACATTCACTGAATGCTCATGAGCAATGTCTTGGGTGCTGAGGGGATACATATCTATACGACACAGGCTTCTCTCTCAGAGTTTATAAATTCTGACAATTTTGGGGAGATATAATTTAAAACGAGCAAACAAATGTACATAGTGGAGAGTGCTAAATTGCATGACTTGACTGACACATATGGAAGGAGTTAAGAGCAGACAAATCACCAAGGAAGGCTTAAGTTTGGTTCAAATAATTCAGTGTAGAATTTGAATAGAACACAATCTATTGGTCTAAGCTAATTACATGTGTTGCCTGCCACTTCAGATTCTTCCTAGAAAGGAATCATTTAGTTTGAGGTGTATATTGGGGAAGGAGAAAGAGGAAAGGGCATGTTTCATATTCAAATGTTTGTAACTGAAACTGTCAGTGGCCTGCTGATAGTCTGTTGACACTCACCATTCCTTTGCATGTTACATTCCTTCCAACCACTAGCATCTTCAACTCTTTGCTTAAGAGCTGTTCATGCCCTAGGGGCCACCCCGGCAGAGGAGCAAGACAAGGCAGGTTACAAGTATTAGGGAGTTAGTACTTGCAGTGCAATCCTCGACCAATGACAGGGGAGTATTCTGCACCATCTCCCGGAGTTCTCCAAGGACCGAATCCCAGCTGTCTACAACAGTGATCTGAATAGTTTTTCTTTATGGGCTTCCTGCTCTTCTCTGACTTACTTCCCTACACTCTCACCATACTCCTAGATTCACCTCCTGAATTAACTACTTACACTCATCTCCTTGTCTTAGGGGCTGCTATTGGGAAACCCAACCTTAGACAGAAGCTTGATGTTTTTGTGTATTAAAGTATTGAGGGAATTTAGCACAATGCCTAAAGTAATTTTTCCAATACTTTCCTGATTTGGGATCTTGATCAGTGACTGCTGCCTGCCGCATCAATGCTTCCCCTCCTCATTCGTGGTAGAACCTTGACTTTATTTGGGACAGCAGTGCACCTCACTAAAACAGTGCATTTCCTATGCTCCCTAGCGGTACTATGTGACTAACTCTAGCCACTGATATAAAAGTGAACGTGTATGGAGCTTTTAAAGTATCCTTAAAAGAGAGCAGCGTGCCTTTCTCTCCACATCCCCAAATTCTATCCTGATTATTTGGATCAAGAATGTGAATGTTGGAGCTCCAGCAGCCACCTTGAAATGGAAGCCTTGAGCCAATGATGATGGATCTGAAAGATAGGATCCTAGGTACCCAATGACACACACAGTTACCATAACATTCCTAGACCTTATTTTATATGTCATAGAAATAAACTATCTTATTTAAGCACGATTACTTGGGGATTTTCTGTTATACTCAGCCAAATAGAATCACAATTCAGGGTCACTTTATCCAGGCTGAACTATTGTTTAAATTATACTGAGTTTTACTAGTAACAACAGTCCTGCATTAGCATTACTAAATCACAATTCATGCTCACCAGCTTTGTTCCAGATTATATTTTGTAGGATAATCTTTCTTTGTTCTTTTCCCTTCTAATTCTTTCTAAGAAATTCTCATTGGCCATAATACTTCCTTTTTTAAAAGTCTGTTCTTTAAGCCCCTTAATAAAACCTCTGGAGTTAGTCTTTAAGCAACAGCACACACAGATACACACACACACACCACCACCACCACCACCACCACCACCACCACCACCACCACAACCACCACCACCACCGCCACCCAAGACAGTCATTGGAATTTTACCTTTAAAGGCAAAGGAAGAAAAGCAAGGGAGGCTGCCTGTCTTTTTACTTAGAACCCACAGTTTTACTGTTGCTAGTGCTACCATTACTCAACTGGGTTAGGCTCGATAGCTTTGGTCTTTAGAATTTACCTGGGATTCCACAAGGATTCTCTCTCTGGTTTAAAAAATACAATTCTGCCTGGCTGACATGGCTTAGTGTTTGAGCATCGACCTATGAACCAGAAGCTCAAGGTTCGATTCCTGGTCAGGGCACATGTCTCAACCGCCATTGCGGGGTGGATAGGAGGCAGCTGATCAACAATTTTTTTCTCAAAATTGATGTTTCTCTGTCTCTCTCCCTCTCCCTTCCTCTCTGAAATCAATAAAAATATTTAAAAAATAGAATTCTGGGACATGAATAGAAATGAATGTCCAGAATATAGTTCGGGGAAGTCTAGATGATCTCAAACTCCAGTCTGCAAAAAGGTCTGATCTGGTATTCTCAATGTTTGAATTAGATCCAATGTCTGGTGCCCTTATCAACTGTGCCAGTGTCAGGAATTTATATATTATCAAAACTTGATAATTTTTTTCTAAAATGGTTCATTTAATGGGCCTTATGCTTTTTTTTTTTTTTTTTTTTTAATAACCCTCAGAGACCTAGAGTCTTTTGCATTTAAATTGCAATGGTAATAAAATGGAATTCTCTCTCTCTCTCTCTCTCTCTCTCTCTCTCTCACACACACACACACACACACACACACACACGGAGCACATACCCCACATGCATCAGTACTGGAGCTCTCACCCAATTATGCCATTCCATTTAGTTTCCTCTGCTCAGCTTTGAAAAGATCAAGACTTAAAGAGGGAGAGCTGATAAAACCCGCTCAAGATGTTGCGAAGCTCTCCTCTGTAAATCCAATGTTTGCTTTGAAAACAGTTTGGCCTGTTTTCTGTAGGTACATGAGCCTATGAGACACTTCCATAGTAACTCTAGCTATACCTCATCTTCTTTCAATTTGCAGTGATGGTGAAGAAGAACCAGGTCGGAAGTCTGCTTCTCTAGGACAGACTGATACTGCAGGAGGGAACAGTAAGATGTCTGCAACTCCTCCGTGCGAAACTCCAGTTCTTGCTGAAGGGCCAGCAATTTTTTCTTGAGTTGCTGGAGTTGTCTCAGGTGACACTGTTTATTGGCCCCAAACTCCATCTGTGATTCCTGGAATGTTAATACATGCTTCTTATTCTGTAGTTGAGGTAAAACATACAGAAAAGGCTTTAGAGTGTTATTAAGCATGCATTTATACTTTGATTTTTTAAAATAAAATTGTTCAACAGTTCACATCCATTTACCTGTCCTTTTATCTTTTCATCTACAGAGCACTTATTAAACATTTCATTCTATTCACAATGAAATATCACTTTGTATTTCCACTGTATAAAAGGATTTAAAAGAAGAAAAAACCATAGTTCTTTCTTACTACTTAGACCTACCACTCTTCTTACTTATGTTAGAAAGAAAAACACACATAAAGGATTGAACTAGAAAGTAGTATAAAGATATATGTGATCATATGCTTATGTTTTATCTTCACATATAAAAATAACACAGTTGACCTGGAAGGTAATGAATTTCTGGTCACGGTCCTTGGGCTAATCTTGAGCATTAAAAATGCCTAGATAAAAGGGTAAACTCTTGGTGGGGTTTTGAGGAAACAGGTTTCTGGATGGTGGGAAATGGGAGGCAGAGATATTGTTCAGGCATGTCTGGACACTGACTCTGTTTCCTTTTGCTGATAGAAGATGTGACCTTGCAGAGGCTGTGTGTGTGTGTGTGTGCGCGTGTGTGCGTGTGTGTGTGTGTGTGTGTGTGTGTGTGTATTAGATATATAGGTAGGTAGGTAGTTCTCTGTGCCAATCCACAATTTACCTGAAATGCTGTTAGACCATCATACATTTTCAGTCATTCATTCAATAAACATATGTTGAACACCTACTTTGTATCGAGTATTTTGCTGGCAGGACATAGTCCTGAGTTGTTTATCTAGTATAACTGAGGTTTTTGCACTAATGTGTCTATATTTTCTTGCTAAACATGCCCGATGACATGTGAAAGAGGTTAGCTCATGTGTCTGCTTCTTATTCTCCTTTTCGTTCTTTAAAACCCTATGCAAATCCTGCTCTTCTTCCTATTTTCCCTGCAAATATTATGGTATTGAAATCTATTGCTTCAATACCATAGACTTTACTGGCATGTTCTTAACAAGGCACTGTACATTTTGCTTTGCATTGTCATGATTTCAAAGCATCTCATATTGTCAATAGATGATAAACTCCTGGAAGGCAGTTGCCATGTCTGCTCCTATGGAATCCAGATAGGAGATTTATACACAGCAAAGTACTGAAAGAGGGAAGGAAATAAAATGGAGAATGAGCACTCTTATTGGTTCCTAAGAATTTGAACTTTCGGCCTTGGTTTCATTAACAGAGTACATTTAAACATTTAAAAAATGAACTATTTCTCTTAACAGTTTTAATGAGGTATATTTTAGATATCATAAAATCCATCCATTATAAGTGTACAGCTTAATGATTTGTGGCAACCTGGAGTTGTGTGATTGTGAGCACAGTCTAGCCTTAGGACATTTCTATTACTTCAAATAGTCCCCTCATGCCCATTTGTCACTCCTGTTCCTCCCTCAGCTCCAGGCCACCACTAATCCGCTTTCTGCCTCTATGGGTTTACCCTTTCCAGACATTTCATATCAATGGAATTGTATAGAATGTTATCTTTTTGTCTGGTTTCTTTCCCTCAGGAAAATGTTTTTGAGGTTCATCCAGACTCTACCAAGCATCACTATTCTGACCTTTTTATATTGATGAATAGTACGAATACACCATATTTTGTTTGTCTGTTTACCAGTTAATGAATAGTTGGATTGTTTTGGATTTTGGTTATTATAAATAACTAGAGGTCCAATGCACAAAAATTCATGCAAGAGTAGGCCTTCTTTCCCCCAGCTGCTGGCACCAGCTTCCCTCTAGCACCCGGGACCCAGGCTGGCTTTCCTCCAGTCACCCGCAGGCTTTTGGGACCTGGGCTGGCTTCCCTCTGGCTCTAGCTTTATCAAGAAGGATGTCTGGAATGATGTCTGGTCTAATTAGCATATTACTCTTTTATTATTATAGATGCTGCTAGAAATAATAATAGCTATTGTGTCAATATTATATTTTCATTTAATGAATTTGTTCAGCAAATATTATGGTGCACCTACAATATGCTAAGCACTAGATAATGGGGATACAGAAGCTTATAAAACATACAGGTTCTCTGTCTTCCAGTAAATTATGTAGCGCATTGAAGGGAAAGAGAAGAGAGTGAAGCAGGGGAGGGATGAGGAATGCCAGGATGGAGGCAACGGTAATTTTGAATTAATTGTTTTCAAGGAGGACCACGTTGAGAAGATGACATTTGAGCCAAGAGTTGAAGGAGACAGGGAAGGAGCCTGATGGGAATCTAAGCAGGAATACTTCAGGGAGAAATAACAGCAAGTGCAAGGCCTGGAGGTGAGAGGAGCCCAGTGGTGTTTGAGCAGTATCTTTGTTCTGGCTGGAGCAGAGAGAGGAAAAGGGAGAGGAGTACCCAGGTGAGGTGAAAGGAAAGAGAGGTGAGGTTCTTTAGGGACATATATGCCATTCTAAAGACTTTAACTTTTTCTTTCAGGAAAGACCATTGGAGGGTATTGAGCAGGGGGGATTGACGGGATCTCCTATAGATATTACAAAGACATGCTGGGCTGTCCTATTGAAAATCAACTATAAGGTGCCAAGCTAGTGTAGCTCAGTGGTTGAGTGTTGACGTATGAACCAGGAGGTCAAGTTTGATTCCTGGTCAGGGCACATGCCCAGATTGTGGGCTTGATCCTCAGTGTGAGGTGTGTAGGAGGCAACTGATCAATGATTCTCTTTCATCATTGATGTTTCTATCTTTCCCTCTTTATTCTCTCTGAAATCAATAAAAATATATTTAAAAAAAATAAAATCAAGTATAGGAAGGCAGAAGCAGGGAGACCAGCCAGGAGGCTACATCAAGGATGTGGATGAGAAAGGATGATGGCTTGGACGAGCGTGGTAGCAGTAGGTGGGAGAAATGGCTGGATTCTAGATATATTTTGAAAATAGAGCCCACAGGATTTGCTGCTGTGTTAGATGTCAGGTGGTGGGGAATGATGGTCATCCAAACAGGATGACTCCAGGTTTTGGTCTGAGTAACTGGAGAGATGGAGTTTTAATGAGATTGATTAAGTAAGAGCTGGGAGCCAGGAGAAAATCATCTCTAGTGAGAGTGGCTGGGGCAGCGCAGATAAGGGAGGCTTAGTCCAGCTCAGAACAAGAAAGTCCATAGCTGATTGTGTCGTTCAATCTGATTTACTCTCTCTGGCTCTCATAGGAGTTCATTTCATCCTTAATGGCTCAGAATAGAGAAGGCAGACAGAGAAAACTGACCACAATAGTAACCAGGCAAAAGAAACCCTAGGTCAAGACCAGCTGAACTCTTGGCCTGAATATCCGGTTTCTTGAGGGGAAGTTGACGAGACTTCTTTCCTGAGCCAAACAAAGCCAAATTTTGTATTTACTTTGTGTAGCTATACTTTCCAGTATTTAAATGAAATGTTTCCAGTTAAGTGTTTTCATTCTTTTCAAAAGAATTCTCACCTGTAAATGAGGTTCAGGGAGAAGAGACTTGGAAATTATATATATATATGTGTGTGTGTGTGTGTGTGTGTGTGTGTGTATACATGTGCACATGTACACACACACATGTATGGGGATGTTCTCAAGAGCCCAAATCCTCTGTCTATACAGCTAAGCTGGGGTAAAGAACTGCTTAGAAAAAGACATAGTAAGTACTTAATGCGGATAGAACTAAAACAAAGGAGTGAACATTCGGGGTAGGCATAAGTCAGAAGGCTGTATTTTAGTGAAGCAAATACCCAATAAAATCCATAACAAAGTTTGCCAAAATTCTGTTTCTCTTAGCTTTGTGGAAACACGATAGACCAACTAGGTGATAAGATTTCACTCAAGTGCTTCAGTATAGGGCAAACGTAAGACTTACCCTAATGTGTCTGGTTATAAAAACCCCCAAATGGCTCATATATAGAGAGAAACAATAGTTTTCTTGGATAAGAACTTTAGATATTTGCATGCTATAGACACCTATGAGTTTGGAGGAATCAAATTTCAAAGACTTGGAGAAATGCCTAGGCTTATTAGAGATCTATTGATTTTCTACTTATTTATCCTTAAGTATTCAAAAGATTATTTTTCTTAATTCTAAATGAGTAGACAATGACATGCTATGGATTAAGCCTACATTTCACTTGTATGTGCCAAAGGGCAGTATCATTAAGGCATTAATGCATTTCCTATTGCTTTCTGGTTGTCTTTTAAAAAAGTTTTCTTTCTAATGAAAGATATTTTATTAGACTCTTCTTTGAACTTTAAACTGAGGTCTGGAGGAAATGAGCAACTTGGAAATGATTCTATGGAACTAAGACTAGTTCTTAGAATGACTATCGAGAATTGGACATGATTCTGGAGGCCATGTGGTCCACTATGCTTCTCAGGTTGATTTCTATCCAGGCCTCAACTATTTTAAAAAATGAAGAGCACTGGCCACTTGTAGGAACATGTTCCCATATTTAGTCCTACTTATGGCCAAAGAGATTATAGCTATTGTTCCCTTCTTGCCTCCTTGGCCATTTGATCACAAAAGGAAATTAATTGGCCTGGCATGATTTGCCTTTTGAAAAGTCACAATGGTTTCCACCCCATACTCTGTGCTTTTCAAGTTGATGCTAATTGATTGATGTTAAGTTCTACATTTTCCCTGATATTGAAGTTAAGCTGACAGATCTATAATTACCAAGATTGTCCTTTTTCCCTTTTTAAAAAGATGAGCACTTCATTTACCCTTTCAGCCTACAGGGACTTTCTTTATCCTCTTGAGTTCTCAAAAATAATCGCTAGCAGCTATGTAATAACACCTGCCAATTCCTTAAGTACTCCTCGAAATATGTCATAAGGCCCTGCTGATTTGCCTAAAGCTGGCTTTTCAAAATACCTTTTAACTATTTTATTCCCTGTTCTAGTTTTCATTGACTCTCTTCTGTTTCAGATTGGCATTGCTCTGATAATAGATCCCTGCTGATATTTTGTCATCCTTTAAGAACTGAAAGTCTC